GCTCCGCGTCGGCGTCGTCGGCGGCGTCGCGACGCGCGCGCGCGGCGCCGGGTCCTCGTAGCAGTCGGCCTCGACGAGCGCTTCCGGCGCCGCGGCCTCCGCCGCGCGCCGCGCCTCCTCCTCGCGCGCCGCGGCCTCCGAGCGCGCGCGCGCCCGGGCCGCGTCGGCCCGCCGCCGCCTCCGCTCGAACTCCGCCTCCGCGGCGCGGGCCGCCTCGGCCTCCGCGGCGCGGGCCGCCTCGGCCTCCGCGGCGCGGGCCGCCTCGGCCTCCGCGACGCGGGCCGCCTCGGCCTCCGCCGCGGCCTCCGCCGCGGAGACGACGGCCTCGGCCTCCGCGACGAGCGCCGCCTCGGCCTCGGCCTCCGCGGCGCGGGTCGCCGCCGCGTCCGCGACGAGCGCCGCCGCCGCGTCCGCCGCGACGCGATCGGCCTCCGCCAGGCCCCGGGCGAACTCCGCGGCCCGCGCGAGCTCCGCGGCCTGCGCGGCCTCCGCCGCGCGCGCGGCGTCGTCGGCCCAGGCCGCGTCGTCCTGCAGCGCGTACGACAGCAGGAGCCGCTTCACGGCGAAGTCCCCGGCGACGCCCAGCGGCGTCTGCCCGTGCATGTTGCGCCGCTCCGTCGACGCGCAGGTCTCGAGGAGCGCGCGCGCGGACTCGACCGCGCCGTGGCGCGCGGCGACGTGGAGCGGCGTGTCGCCGACCCAGTCCGGCGCGTCGACGAGCGAGTCGTCGGCGTCGACGACGACGCGCAGCGCGTCGAGCGACTCGTCGCTCGTCGCCGCGACGTGCGCCGCCGTGCCGCCCGACGCCTCGTCCGCGCGGCCCGGGTCCGCGCCGCGCTCGAGGAGGAGCGACGCGAGGGCCGCGGGGCCGACTAGCGCCGCGACGTGGAGCAGCGGCAGGCCCGCTTCGCCCGCGCCGTTCGGGTCCGCGCCCGCGTCCAGGAGCGTTCGCGCCGCCGCGACGTCGCCGGCCGCGACGGCGGCGGCGAGTTGTTCGGCCATCGCGGCGAGATGTTCGGCCATCGCAAGCGAAGCAAACGTCTTTTCCGGCCAAAGGTGAACGGCACATATCCAGTGATTGTAACTCCATCTCCCACGCTCAACGCGAGAGGCTGCGCGGCGCATCGGGGCCTGCGGCCGTGCGCGCCGTTCGGCGGGGCCGCCCGGCGGGCGTCCGCCATGCCCATCGAGCTGGCCGACTTCGGCCTCACGGACGCCCTGAAGCCGCACCCGCTGACGGAGAAGCGGCGCAAGGCGCGCTACAATGCGCCGGGCCCCGGGTCCTACAACGTCAAGGAGATCGAGCCGTCGATGACGAGCAAGTTCAAGCTCGAGCGCGGGAGCCACTTCGGGCGGAGCCGGGCGCAGCGCTTCGACTCCCGCGAGAGCACGGTGCCCGGGCCTGGCCTCTACAAGATCAACGCGTCCGTCGGGCTCCAGGTGTCGTCGCGCGTGCTCACGTCCGCGCGGACGGCCTTCGGCAAGGCGCGCAAGGGCAGCGTCAAGGGCACGCGCACGCCCGGCCCCGGCGACTACGAGCCCGAGGCGCACGTCGTCCACGCGCACGGCCGCGCGCCGATGCCGTCCTTCGGGGGCCCGCTGAACAAGCAGGACCGCTTCGGCCAGTTCAAGCTCGACGTCGCGAACCCGCGGAGCCCCGGCCCGGGCGTCTACAGCGTGCCGTCGACGCTCCAGTTCTCCAAGGCGCCGGGCAGCCCCAAGGTCGGCACGAGCCGCCGCTTCATGACCGACAAGCCCATGGGCCACGTCGGCTCCGTCGCGCTCCAGCGGTCGCTCACGGAGCCGTCCGCGCTGACCGCCGCGTCCCAGAAATCCTTCTACGAGGTCGAGCACGACCGCCCGGGCCCCGGCGCCTACGCGGACCACTCGTCCTTCGGCAAGCAGGTCACGTCCGTGCGCAAGTCGTCCGCGAACTCCAAGTTCGGCTCGAGCTACCGCGGCTCCACGGGGCCCAACAAAAACCCGGGCCCGGGCCAGTACAACGAGCGCGCCTTCCTCGGCCGCCAGGCCGCGTCCCGCGTCAGGACCGCGCCCCAGTACCGCTTCGGCACCGCGCCGCGCCCGACGCTCGTCAACCCCGTCGGCTGAGGCGCGCCCGCCGCGCCGCGCCGCCGGCCTAATTGGTCCTTCGAGCTTTGTGCCTTTCCGCCGGGGGAGCGGGGTCCCGGCCTGGTCGCGGCCGCCTCGGACGCGGACGGGTTCCCGAGCTGGCCGCGCCCGCTCGGACGCGGCCGCGCGCCCGCGGGCGATGGACATCGCATTCGACGGAGCCCGCGACATGTTACGAGTTCGCCCGCGACATGTTACGAGTTCGCGAAGGCCTTGCGGTCCTTCTTCGTCACGAGGCCCTTCTTCGCCTGCGTGGCGACGTTCGCGACGCCGTAGTCCTCGCGGAGGGCCCTGGCGATCTGCTCGAGGTACTTGCCCTGGACCATGATGGAGAAGAACTCGCGGCCCTGCTTGTTGTCCTCCGTGCCCTTGCGCGGCGCGACGGACGCGGCGGCGGAGAATTTCGCGCGGAAGACGGCCGCGAGCTCCTTCATCTTGCGCTCGTCGTAGCCCCAGGAGTCGAGGCCGTCGACGAAGGTGCAGTTCTTGTCGCGGACCCTGCGGCAGGCCACCGTGACCTGGCTCCCCTTCTTCGTCGCGCGGAGGTGGCTTTGGCCGCCGTCGCCGCCCGCGGGCTCGCGGTCGACGGCGCGGAATGGCGGCGCGCGGCGCCAGTCGACGCGCGTGATCTCGAGGACGCCCTTGGACCGCTCCTTCGTGTCGAGGCAGTCCGCGAGCGACGCGACGAAGGCGCCCGCCTTCTTCCACGACGTCGCCTTCACGGGCACGCCGCAGAGCTTCGCGGCCGCGCCGACGGCCTCGGCGACGAGCACGGGCGGCTTCGCGTCGCGCTTCAACGTCGTCAAAAAGCCCGACAGGAAGAGCTCGTCGGGCGTCGGCGGGGGGGGCGGCGGCGTCGTCGCCCGCGGCGGCGTCGTCGTCGTCGCCCGCGTCGTCGCCCGCGGCGGCGTCCTCGTCGTCCTCGGCGGTCGCCTCCGCCGCCTCGTCGTCCTCTTCCGCGTCGTCGTCGTCCGCGGTCGCGTCGTCGTCCTCGGCGGCCGCCGCTTCGGCGGCGGCGACGTCTCCCGCGTCCTCCGCGGCGGCGCCCTCCGCCTCCTCGGCGGCGGCGTCCTCGGCGTCGAGGGCCGCGAGCGCGGCCTCGACGGCCGCGAGCTCGTCGACGAGCGCGGGCTCGCGGCGGACCTTGTCCGCCTGCGCCGCGTCGAGGGCCGCCCTGCCCCGGAGGTCCGCGATCTGACGGAGCGCCTTCTCGAGCCGGCGCCGGTCCCGCGCGAGCGACGCGCGCGCGGCCTCCGCGTCCGCGACCTTCCGCGCCGCGGCGCGCGCCGCGCCCGCGCGCCGCGCGTGCGCCGCCGCCTCGGCGTCCGCGGCGGCCGCGGCCGTCGCCGCGTCGACGGCGGCCGGCGGCGGCGCCCGCGCGGCGTCCGCGGACGCGTCGTCGCCGAAGCGCTCCGGCCAGAGCGCGTCGCCGACGCGCGAGAGCACCGATACGGCCACGCCCCGGAGCCCGGCCTCCTCCGTGTCGCCGGAGGACCGCGCGAACTGG